GATTCTCGGGTATTGTTTTATCGTCCTCTGTAGTGTGCTTTGCTAGATAAACTTTAATCTTTGTAATCTGGGCTATTGTATCAAAATTTCATCACTTCGTTTCCATCTACTGTAAAAATAAAGCAAAAAAAAGTATATACCATACATACGGTTGTTTTTAATAACTTCATAACGATACTTTCTAAACAAAACAGTAATGGGGCAGGGCTATAATGATAACATATAGGCACAGAACGCCCAGAGCGAGGTGTTATTATTGATTATTATCTTTCCTAATCGTAGTTAACTTACGTTGGAATTGTATTATCTGATTCTCCATAAAATTGTCTTAAACTAAATTATTTTTAGAGTTTAAAACGGGAAACTTTACTTTTTGCAAGATTTGCAACATTCATAGCCATTTAGAGAAACGTCCAGTCGCAGTTAGAAATAAATAATTCGCGTTTTAAACCGCCGCGTTATCAATTTTACACAATCGCGTTAAATACAGACTTAATAAACTTTTACATACTTGATATTATATATGACATCGTGGAAATTTGAAGGCATGCGATGTTGTCTGATAAATAATCAAACAAAGCCAGACAAATTTGTTTTATTAAAGTTAGAAATTTACTTAAAAGAATGGCTCTATTATTCTTCTATTACTGGTTTTGTGTAACTATAAATGCGATGACGTCACCCAATTCTGTTTATCACGTTAGATTTAAGCTTATATTAGCTTCATTTGGAAGCTGTTCAGTACAGTTGCTGATGTTGGGGCAAAACAACACGCATCGGACGGTGGGGTACTATTATTCAAACCTCCTGCCATTGACTTGGTTAGCCAAAGGTGTTTTCGCCAACCGTTACATTCAGCCCAGGTGTCTTCAATGGCAATTATAAAACTTCCGCGCCGCTCTTGTTCATTTTTTAACATTTGGCGAATACGTTAGCGGTCAATTTGCATTTCTTATTTTGAATGCTAACTTTTTACTTGTCATTGTGGAAATCCCTTACTGTAAGTATATTTAATATGCTTGACGTAAAATACATATTCTACTAAATACTGTCTGTAGTTTACGCGAGTAGTACACATTTAAATAAAACACTTTAACGGTTTAAAACGCGATATATTTGTAAAATACAGCCCGACGTTTCGGATGCTTTGCAACAGCCGTGGTCACATCGAGACAGGGGCAAAAAAGCTTAACTAAAAAATATCGCTTTTTAGCTCGTTACAGTGTTTTACTAAAACATATTATATTAATTCAAAATAGTGTTTTTATTTATCATTTACATTTATGAGCAAAGATAATCAATATAAACCAATACTCATTGAATGAAAAATCTAAATGAAATCAAGATGTCATGTCGCGGACAAAATTACCAACCGCCTGTTGGTCGTAGACCCTTGAAAATGTACACCTGTTGCTTCATTATATTTCTTCAGCAATCTCAACCATACAAAATAAAAGATAATGTTTAATTTCGCCTGTCGATACCAATCGTATGGAGATGCGTGCGCGCAGCCCGCAGGCATGTGGATAGCTCGTGCGCCTTCAGGGGAATGCCTTCGTCTATGGTCATTAGTTTTTGGAAATTGGGGCCATCCCAATGATATATGGCCGGGATGTGTCGGATGTTTGTGTAATGACCGCGATGAATGTATTATTAGAAGCGTGTGTTTGGAATTTTTAATAATTTTCGATAGCTTTGCGATATTAACAATTTATGAAAGATCCATTTCATTAAATAAAACAACGGTTCTAAACGCGAAAAGTATTCGATGAATTTATTTGCAAATTGTTAATTTACATATCGATGTTTCATAATTAAATTACCGTCGTAAATGTCGGGCCGTAGTTCAATTAAATAAGTTTTACTATTATTTTTCGGTCAAGTTAGTTTTTAAACCGTTAAGGTGTTTTGTGTACAAGGATCTATTTTATGTTAAAATTGTTTAGTCACTTACGTTTTAATCGAATACAATGGTTGCGATGTCCAATCACAAGGTGTTTTATTAAGGGTCTTATTTATCGTTTTTTTTATTGTACAGCCCAGTGAGTGTGTTTCCAAATCAAATGACGCCATATTACACCATAGACGTCGATATGTCTACAACATAATCCTTATTCTCCTCAACTAGATAAGTGACGTATATATCCTTCCGTAGAGCCAATCCATTGTTATACAAATCGCGATGTCTATACGTCCATTATCTCTTCCAAAATAGTGTCCTAACTGCGAACCTCTATATTGTCATGTTAATAGCGCCGTAATTCTTCGTGTCATAAAGGCGCTATATTTGCCTCCAAGGTTGACCTATAAAAGGGTCGAATTTGATTCGAAGAATAACAATTGTTATTGGTAAGCGCTTGCGCTGAATTGTTTTGTCTAATGTGCGGCGATTTCAAATTAACTGCAGTTCAAATTTAACAAGTGGCACGGCGCGGCCCTTTTTTATCCGACTACGGCGAAGAAGGAAGGCTAATGGTGTCAGTCAGGTGCTTGGCATGTATGATACACGATTCGTAATAATATCTCAGGCTTTAACATAAGCAATCTAAACATTACAATAAAAACCATACAAAAATGCTTCGAACGGGTTACTACTATACACTATACTAAAACTAACTTAAACTAAATTTCTATACTAAAAATAAAAGTATACGCAAGTCAGAGTTCCGATTGACTGGTCCTTTGTCTATATGTCAAAGACGGGAACAATAATTTTCCGTAATAACCTATGTATTCCAGGATTTTCAAGTTTCAAAAGAGCGGACGCATTTATATTGTCGGATTGACATTTGTATCCTGTGCTTACATTGCGAAATCAATTTATAATGTCAAAATTGTACAAGTCTTAGTAGATTTCATTTACATATTTTGTTGTCTTTGCTAAATCTAATTGAAGTTCGTTACTATATTGCTAGACGTCAATGGTGTATCATTTTCAAGGCATTTTTAGTACGGAAAAGAACGTCATGATACATTTAGTTCTGGTCGTCTTAAATTTATTGTCCTTCGTTGTCTATAGCTTTACACTACCAGGATATAAATCTGTGGATGGTGTCATATTTCCATTTAAGAAACGATTCTTATTTTCATGCCAGTAATATAGGTACATTAAAATAATTCATACTGCCACAATACTCGGAAAGATTATTCTTTATTAAATCCGTTTATTATGAAATATATTTAGGTTACGTGAAAAAAACTTCAAAACACGATTCATTTTAAATCTCTTAAATTCGTTATAATTAATTAGAGACCGAGTAAAGAGCAAAGACCGCTGGGCCAAACTCTATTCCATTCTGGACAAAAACGAACTGATTTTGCCGGAGCGCCCGGTACATTTGTTGAATTTAATTAGCGCAATCAAGGTGCGGATATTTCGACACTGGCGTAATGGTCCCTATGAGCCGGACATCCTTCTTTGTATCTCGTAAAAGATAAGTTTTGTTTTTTGCGTATTAATTAATAAAAACATCCACCAACAAGCTAATTGAATGTCCACTTTTTGTCTATCGTCGGTGTTCATTATTTTTACTTGTTTTGAATTGAAGTGAAATATACCTATTAAAAATTAATATGTTATCAAACGTTTGGTATTTGTATGTTTTTTTTAATTTATGAGACAGAACTCGAATCATCAACGAGTACCAATGATATACGATGGTTATCAACCAAAATCCCAATGCAACGTCAGCGAAAGGGTTTATGTTTACATAATAATATTTATATTTTTATAAGTTTATTGATACGTTAATCTAATTGATTGGCTCGTTGGTCAGATTTGACGGGTCGATTCCCACCGGATTCAACATGTTTTAAAACAATCCTTATCCTAATATTGTAAAAATTCGTGGTTTTTGAAGCTAGAACAATGAAACTTTCTTCTTTGGCTTTTTGGAAATAGGCGTGGGAGTGGGAGTTAGAGTAGGAGTGATGTGACGTGAGATTGTTGCGGAAAAGTAACATTTACAACATAGATTGGCTGCCTTAAATGCGCCCTTACATAAAATCCACAGGACGAAGTCTCGGGCACAGCTAGTTTATTATATTTCTGAAATATGTTGGACTTCGTCCGGAAACTGGATTTTAAATTTTTTGTAGGATCATCATTATTCAGTCTGGGTGAAAAGTTATAAGGATACTTCATCTTTCATCAAGCGAACCAGATGCTTGTCTGTCTTCCTTCATTATAAAAGGAGTTGTAAATTAAACACAGCCAGAATTATTATTAATTAGCTCCTAGATGTTTGAAAGGAGTTTATATTCATTTATTATGATCCTAATATTAATTAACCGCGGGAAACTGCATTTATCGTTCCGTGTGTGTCTGGAAACCATTGTCTTAATTCTCCACGCTCTGATAATGACCACTTTCACAGCGCGTGATCATCTTGGTTAAGGTTACAGCTATACACATGTAATTATAACGTCGTTTGTTCGGGAACTCTTACTTTTTCACTAACGTTATACGTTTAACCCAATCCTTTCGCGTAATGGCAGAGATTTGAAGATATAGCCCTTAAACATGGAGGAGGGAATGCTCTGCATCAATTCTAAGATTTCATTAATTTTTTACATGGCAATCTCTCTTTTTGTATTAAAATAACTTAAACTTTAAATGCGAACCGTTAACAGCAAACATTTTTATACGTTTGTTTACGTCCACTTAGCAAATATAACTTTACAATAAAACACTTTAACGGTTTAAACGCGATATATATTAGTTAAACTTATTTTTATCTCCGGCCCGAGGTTGTCACGGGGAGACTGACCACGGCTGGTGCAAAGCAATCAAAACTTTGGGCCGTACTTATAATTTTCAAATAAGTTTAACTAATAGATATCGCGTTCTAAACCGTTAGTGTTTTATTTAAATATGTACTACTCGCGTAAACTACAGATAATATTAAATATAGCTTTCGTTCAGTTTTAAAATCTACAACTAGAGACGCACTTAGAGTTATACAGACTGCAGCTTATAACGTATGCTTTCTATGTTCCAGCCTATTCGAACAGGAGATTATGAGCTACGTACCCGCGACCGGTTGCAGTTCCAGTGTAGTCCCCTCCCCTGTGGCGTCGCCAGCTGCTGCCAGAAGTACCAGAGCCCCAGCGCCGCAGAGGAGAGATTTTGAGGCGAAGTTACGCGCCTTCTACCGTAAGCTAGAGAGCAAAGGATACGGACAGGGCCCAGGGAAACTAAAGTTAGTAATTTATAGAAAATAATCGCTTGAAAAAATTTTGCTTGTTGCTCTGATTGACAAGTTTTTACACTTCAGTACCTACACATAATCTTCTTCGAATATCTGCAATCCAGTACTTTTTAAATGATAGTTATTAATGAGGGAAATAGTCAAATTTGTTTATTCGTACAAAACATTTTGTTGTTCATAATTATAGATAAATACATTTGTTATTAGTTACATGTAATTTGATAACATTTAAGATCTCAATAGTAAATAGTTAAGCTTAATATAACTTCCAAAACTAATCCCACTCCTACAATAATTCCAGGCTCCACATACGCCGTGAACATCTTCTAGAAGACGCGTTCAGGCGCATCATGTCGTGCAGCAAGAAGGAACTGCAGAAGGGCAAGCTCTGCGTTATATGGGACGGAGAAGAAGGTCTAGACTACGGCGGGCCGAGCAGGGAATTCTTCTTCCTCCTATCAAGAGAGCTGTTCAACCCCTACTACGGACTCTTTGAATATTCCGCAAATGACACATACACGGTCCACGTATCCCCTATGTCGGCTTTCGTCGACAACCATCATGAATGGTAAGTGGTAATATCATCATATTCAGATTACGTTTTATCTGTAGTTTACGTGAGTTATATACATATAGTTAACAATATAATATGTGTACTATATTAGATCATAAGTCGAGTCATAGTTATAATTGGTTAACTTGTTAAGCGTATCGGCCTATTTGAAATTGTTTTGTCTAATGCATATCGCTCGCGTAAACTTCAGATACAACTCAATCCAATTAATAATTGGTATTTACTAACCCAATAAAACAATCTCGTCAAAGTAAGTTTGTACTAATTAGGCAAAGAAAGATAATCAACACATCCCGTTATTTAAATAAAAGTGATAATTATGTCAACATTATCAAAGATACATAATGGCATGGTAAACAAGGATAGAACAGTTGCTACAATTACGGACAATAGTGAATAAGCAATCTGTTTTTATTTGCTTGCAAATTGCTTTTGCAAATCTTGTACACGGAAGGTATTAATTTTTCAATAACTCTTAATGTCCGTAATATTGTAATTATGCATAGACAATAATTTTTTTTACTTTAAAGCAACATTTTAACGTTTTTCGAATTACGCCATTTTTCAAACGCCATTTTATCTTTGTTTTGTGGCGTTCTTAATTTGAATTTTGATTATATTTTTTAAACTGTAAAAGGTACAGAAAAATAGTCTTTATTATTTTTAGAGTGACAGTGACTTATTTTAAATTGTACATCTTTTGTATTTCATAGTTAAAAGTATGGTTTTAAATATAAAGATCACTATTTAAACAACCTTATCTCTTCTCTACTATACATATAACTTAATTTAAATTATTAACAATCGCCTCTAGCTGTGATTTCTGTGACTGTTTCTTAAAACAATAAATAAATAGCAAAGATTAATAGTTATGTGAGGTCAATGTACTAGCCGTTGAAAAGAATTAATTGTCATAAATAATTCACGTACTTCCGTTCATTGTACGTCGGTTGCGTTGCTTTAGGAACAATAAGCTTTTGCTAAAGAAATCTTTAGACAACCGTCTATACAAGTTACGTTAACATTACAACAGATTTCCAGTTAATTACTGCACAATATCCCTTTATTAAATGAAATTATATTTCGATATATTTATTTATGCAACTTGAATTTTATGTTAGTTGTTGGTTGGTGATTCTCCAGATATTAAATAAATACCAAGTGGTACAGTTTAGTCCTAGTTTAGTAACAGTTTTATTTATCGACATGTGTATATATTATAGTCCACTTAATAAAAATAGGTCCCTATTAAAAATATCTAGAGAAAGTGTAAATGTAGCACAGGTGTGGTAAGCAGGCTTTATTAACTATCCTAGTCCTATAACCCAAATTAACAGTTTAACATGCTTATTTACACACCGGGGTTTATAGCTACTCCCAAAAACACTAACTTGGTAACAGAATTTTACTTAACACCCACCACTATACCGAGGAGCTGGTACTCTGCAGTCTAGTACACTAACCACCACTACCTCGTCGGTTTTTTTAATTTTTGTATGATATGGGAGGACAGACAAGCGTGTGGTTCACTTGAGGGCACAAACAAGATGTGCTGTCGATCTATTCTGCCTTTGGATATTCTGAAACTGAAATCCACCGACAGAAACCGAAGCATGATTAAACTCGACGGCTCTTTCGTCTGCAGCCAGTAGTTAGTGGCCCGAACTGATTTTCGATATTCCTGACAGATTGTCAGAAGTCCAATGTATTTAAGAAAAAATATATATTGATTAGAAAAATCTTTGACCCGGTGGTATCACGACGAGGTTAATAAAAATATGACATTTAGTTATCCTACTTAACTGTTGGTCCTTGCGCTGTTCAGATGTATAAATGCTCCCCAAAACGAAAATTGAGAACAGTTTAAACAAATACAATACACCGAATCGCTTTGGGTAGGCTTTGAAATCCTAAAACGCTCGTGTTACGCGTATCTAGTTACGATAAACAGTTCGTGTTTACTTGCTTACATGGTTTTTTGTCGTTATTTGACTCTGTGTAATTGTATCGTTGACTCGACAAAATGTTTTCGGTGTCACCGAGGAATATTAAAATTAATTTAAAGTTTTAGTACCGATATTATATTTTATATGCAACATATCTTCAATAAAACCTCTGTAATTACTAGAACTATTTTTTTTCATATATAATATGTGCATCTCTCTTTTTACCATAATATATAGTACTGTCCATATCATTTATTTCACATACAAGATACATAGTTCACACAAGATAAATCATATAGGTCTGAGTAAAGCATATTTGAGCATTAACTGTGTTTAAATACGTATAGAATATTTAAGTTAAAAAATGAACTGTTTTAAATGTGAAATGTATTAGTTAAACTTATTACAATTCCCCCGTGACCAAGACTGCTGCAAAGCATCTGAAACGGCTGTAGATGAAATCAATTGTAAACAAAAAGTATAACTCACATTTCCTGTCTTACACTACATAAATTAGTTTAACAACAGACTGTTGGTTTTAGATAAATAAAAACTTAAACATCTCAGAATTGTGGCATAATTTTTATATAAAGTGGACTTAAGATTTTCTTTTTTCTAGGTTTAGATTTTCCGGTCGAGTGCTAGGCTTAGCTCTAGTGCACGGTTTTCTACTGGAGGCCTGGTTCACTCGGGCGCTGTACCGGGCCCTCTTGCGTCTATCGCCGGCGTTAGAAGATGTAGACGCTTTGGATGCTCAGTTCGCCGCTTCGCTTCGGTGGTTACAGGTAAGTTATTGGTATTAATAACACAAGGATAGACAAACGCTGTCGTCCGGATTTGGCTTTCAACATTTGCAAATCTTAAACGAAAACGAGGGTTGACCTTTCACGGCTTTTCCTCCAAGGGTAGTGATTGATGACACAGGCTCAACCATGTAATGTTTTTGCATATGGGGTCTAAAATGCTTTTGAAAAATTTATAAAAATATTTAGAGATTAGGGCATTTATTCTGATCCAGATAATATTTCCTAATATGTATAAAGACACATGTATGTAGACAGTAATTATAATTCTTTTGTTTAAAGATACACGTATTCATTCTTTTAAAAAAGTTGGTTATATAGAGTATAGTCTAAACAGCGCAATTGTCAAATAAATCACAGATACAAAATTTACATAAACTAATAAATTTTGACGCTACATTTCTTGACTTTAACAAAAATTGCCATAGTATTAACAGAATATTTGAAATCGACACTTGATTAATAATAAATAATCGATTCTTAAATTGCAGTCAGCACGTTGCGTGTCATCGTTAGAACTGACGTTCGCGGTGTCAGAACGTCTGGCGGACGGACGCGTACTGGAGCGCGAATTAAAGCCAGGAGGGCGGGACGTTCCGGTAACGGAACGGAATAAGAAAGAATACCTGGAGAAGCTGGTGCGGTGGCGGGTGGAACGTGGAGTCGCTGAACAGAGTGAATGGCTGGTGCGCGGATTTCATGAGGTGAGGATTAGAAAGATACTTTGTATAAAATACTAGTAAATTGCATTTATGTTAATATATTGTTTTACGTTGTATCTTGCTACTTGAGTAGTACTTATTATTTTAAACATATTTTAACGATTTAAACACTCCAACTAAACTTTGGTCTTTTTGTGCAAACTATATATTATAAAACATAATTTCAAACAGTTATGAATTTATGAGAAATAAGCAATAGACCTACTTAAATTAACCGATAATTGAAACGGTAATTTCTGTGCTTTTTACCACCTTATGACGGTAGATGTCACATAAAATAAATAAATAAGATCAAGGGCATTTTTAGAGAAGAGTATTCCTCCCAATAACTGGATATACCGTAAGAAAAATTCTAAATACCGTTTTAATAAACCCGTGTTCTCGGTTACCTATTTTAAACACTCGTTTTGGAAGAGAAACAAATGCTGTAGCGAAATAAAATATAACCTATATTCTATTCAGTATTAATTATTTTATAAATCTGTCTTTAGTTATAATTAATATGTCATTTGCTTTCAGGTGGTAGATCCAAGATTAGTCGGCGCGTTTGATGCTCGCGAACTCGAACTGGTGATAGCTGGCGCCCCCGAATTGGATGTGGCCGATTGGAGAAACAATACAGAATACCGTGGCGGGTACCACGACGCGCATCCCGTTATTGTCTGGTTCTGGCAGGCGATCGATAGGTGAGTAATAAAAAAGGAGACGGAGTATGGAATGACATAAGTGTGTACTATTTAAACTATAGCGTTTTATACAATAGCTTATCTTTGAAAAATTATTTTATTATTATGCCCTGTTAGAATTGATAAAAAAACTATTCATATTTTGTACCAAAATATCTAAATAATAATTTCCTTACATTACTATATACGATTGAATAAGTGTAAGTCTTTTTCAGTGACCAGTTTTTTATATAAACATCTATACATATGAGGATACATTAATTGTTAAAAAATAACATGTATCATTTTTAATTGAGTTATGTTTCTATTTAGTTAATTAAAAAGTAATTAACGCGGTAAACTTATCACATCTGTTGTTTTTTAAAATAACTCGATTCTTTTCGACAATGAGATCTCGCTGATAAAAAAAACCAAGGCCACTTGTCTAGAAATGTAATACGGGCTAATTAAATTCCTCCTAATTTACATAATTCAACTCAAAACTTGTCCGTCAAGGTCGGTGGCATGGCAAGTATACTGCCCGGAAACACTGGACTGGACGTTGCGTAGTGAAAACGGAATCATTACTTTTAAGTATTCGTTTTTATTCAATACAACGATGAAACCTAATATTCCATTTAGTTTTTCTTTTTTATACTTTAACGTTACAAGCGAGATCTGATGGAACTTCGTAGTTTTAAAGTGATTTATCAGAATAACGCAGTTAATTGAAAAATTACGGTAATAAGTATGGTAATAGCGATGACACAAATAGAGTTTAGTAAATTTACTAAAAAGGCTTTTAACATGCGATTATATCTCTTAAATAAACACTTTCAACAGTTTAAAAAGAGCCATCTGTACCTACCTATATTAAATATGATGCAAACCTTTCAAAACGACGGGCCGTAGTTACAATATTTTGTAAATAAGTTAATAATTCGCGTATGAAACCGTTGAAAGCCATTTATGTTAATGTGTATACTCGCGTAATCTACAGAATTATATGTTTGTGTCCTATAAGATCTGACTGTTGATTGATATATGTATAGGTTCTGTTTTTGTAATTATTTTAGATCGGAGTTAAATACTGTAAGTAAATAAAACAGTAACGGCGAACGCTTTGTGGTTAGGTTTGAATTTTAAAAATAAATTTCAAGGTTCACATCGGGTCACCCACGCAATGTGGTTACGTTGATAAGATGCGCTTTGTGCGATAACGTTGTTTTATGGCCTGTTATATACTAAGAATTCGTTCGACATTTTGCTTTATTTAAGCGCGCTAAAGTTCGTCCTATATATTCCTATCTAAATGTGTCTAAATAAATATATAGGTCGATACACATTTTATCCTTAACTCTTTAGGATGAAAGATGTTACGTTAGGTCAATTGTTTCTCTCTTTTAACTCTTTTTTATTTCTGAGAAACAACGGTTTTGACGAGACAGAGCATAATAAAATCAAATATGTAGAAAAAAACATATCAGTTCATTTAAAATATGAGACTTCAGACTTTACCTATTACATAATAACGACTCGTTTATATCTTACCAACGTTCTCTTAATAAACATTTATTTTACAGATTCACGAACGAACAGCGCCTGCGCCTCGTGCAGTTTGTCACAGGAACATCATCGATACCGTACGAAGGGTTCTCCGCGTTGCGCGGATCGACCGGCCCCAGACGGTTCTGCATAGAGCGGTGGGGTCGCGTTGAATCGCTACCACGAGCTCACACTTGCTTCAATCGCCTAGATCTGCCGCCGTATCCCACGCCTCAGCTGCTCCACGAAAAACTGCTACTAGCCGTAGAAGAAACTAATACATTCGGAATCGAATAGATGCCAAACATCTAACAATTACTTGTATATCAGCAAATATTGTCGTAGTTATTTCTATATAATAATTATAGTGAGCCGAGAAAGTGATATGAATGTACAACTTGTACCGAGTTGTCCAACTTTATCATTAAACGGCCACTTATCTGTCAAGGTCTGTACTCTAATGCTTTTATTCGTAAGATAATTGTATTGTGGCTGTGAACGGCTCCAGGGCCATGATTAGTTGTTAAATATGCTTTACGTCACTAATTTATAATTTTATTAACCTTATGACCAATTAAAAGTAATTTATCAGCATTACTAAACATCTACTCTACCAAAATAGTACTTTAATTACTGTTAAGTTGTGTTAACACTGAATCTAATGACTTTATCGATAGATACATAAGTGGACATCATTTCCTAGTCAGCTTATATGAGAAGCATTAAAATTGGCAAGAAATTAATCGCTTCGCTCCATTACTTGTGTTTAATTGACAATTGTGGATGTTGTATGATAATATTGATGTTCCTCGGTTATTTATAAAATGCATAGATATTAATATTGCTTGAAATGACTCAAAATGGTAGCGTAAAGGTTAACCGACCCTTGAGTATTTGAAGTAATCAATTCCAATAATGTAAATATCTTATTTATTGCGCTTATATACACTTTGGTGTAAATCTGTGTTTATTTCTGTAAGTAAATAGCTTTATTATGTTGAATATTTAAACTACATTTGTTTTGTGTAAAAAATTCTAAGTAACTTGTTTTTGTGTGAAAGTGATAAAATGTGTCAATGTACTATAATTACAATATTTGTTTTATTTACCCTTTCCAGTCTTAAGTTATTTTTCCTAGAATCGATAGATCATTTCTCATATGAGGCCAGAGGCTAGAGGCAGAGTAGCCTAACTGCAATTTTATGACTTGGACTTTTTATATGTTAATCTACAAGAGCAGTGTCCAAAGATTGTTAACATAATTCTTACACAAATAATTGTTCGAACTCATTTTAAACTAAGTTAATGGCACATTTTAATTTTCTTCTTATTGAAAATCACGTTTTTTATTATCAGGCCACTCTGCCTCTAGAAGCTTCATTTAATGAATCGGAAAAAAAACAAATTTAAAATTTAGATCCCCATTGCTCCGCTCTCATTTTAAAGGAAATTTGTTGAATTATAATGGGAATTAAAACAAAAGTAGGTAATAGGTAACATTAACTTTTGCAAAGTCAAAGTAATTATTATTAGTCTTGCAAAATTACCAATCCTTATATCCACCAAGTTTCAAACCTGTATTCCAGTCACTTGAATTGCATAAGATTGTGAACCGTTTGACTTAGATTCAGATATTTAAAACTGTAAAAATATAATTTCCTACACTTGCTGTTTTATGTAAATTATGGTTCAATTAACATGTCCAAAATTATATTTCAGTAGCAAAATGTGGGGGAGGAAGTTTTCAAGATATTCCTTGGTAACAAAACAATTCAAATTAGTTACATTAATGCAATTAAAGGATAGATCACAAACAAATTATTTTTGAAACTAGATGAAGCGGTTGAAAAGAAAATCAGAAGTTCACACTTACAAAATGTTTATTTTCAAAGAACTTTGTGTAACAACAAAAATCAACCTTGTTATTTTACGACCTTATCTTTTAAATTTTAAGACTATTTACAGATTAAGTTTGCATTTATTTGCCAACACAAACTCATGACAAAATGCAACGAGGGTTATTTTCACAAATTCTCTATTCTAGATTGTGACGGAGTTAATTCAATATAGCTTGTCTCAGTCAAGAGTTAAACCTTATTCGTACAACTTATTAAAAGTTAAACCATAAGCTGATGTGATTACAATAAAAAGCTACTGTTATTTATGATTCATAATGCATTACTGTAGCAATCTCTTAGGAAAAACAGAAACAACCTCCCCCTTCTAACTAATCACTACCTGAGCGTGCTTAGTCAATTCCCATCACTATAAAATTTATAATGTTCAAATCTTAGCAAGGTTCGTAGTCAACACTAGACTAAAATTCAATGTAATATAATACACATTGTAAATATTTTGTATATTTACTAAAAAATAAACAGTTAATACAATATTTAATTTGTATCTCTATGCTCGAAAGGGGAGTAAAGGCTCACTGTTAGTCTAGCTGAGAGAGGGGAAATCCTTGCTGTCGTCAACCTTGGGGGGAGCAACCTGGGAGCGCCCCATGGGACGGGGCTCCTCCGGTGCCGGTTCATCCCTGGGGGCTCCGCGGCCTCCCCTTCCGCGCCCACGGCCGCGGCCTCGCCCTCCGGGGGCGCCACGCCGCGCGCCATCGCTGAACGTGAACTCGATGCCGAGCACGTGCTTCTGACGGCCCACGCGTTGCGGATAGTCAGATATGTCGTACTCCTCGTCACTCTCGTCGTCTTCGCCGCCCTCTTTCTTCTTCTCGAGCATCACCAAGTTTTTCCATTGACTTAGATCCTCGCCCTCTCCGGCCTTGCGCAAATTGTACTGCGGGGCAGTGCGCTGAGCGTTCCTGAGCGCCTTGTACTCGTCCAAGGTGAGCTCCCGCGGCTCCTCCTCAGCAGGGACCGTGCGCTCCGCCTCTGGCTGCTGTCCGTCTCCGGCCCCGGCGGCCGGTGCCTCCGCCGGCTTCTCTTCACCGACGTCGGCGTCCGAACCGGTCTTGTTCAACTCCTCCAAATCATCTTTGATCGTTCCCCAGTTGTGGGGGCCACCACCTTCGCGCTTGTCTACAGGCTTCACGCCGGTCTTGTCGGATCCCGACCGCCTGTCGAACTCACGCTTTCCCCTGTTGTCGAATCCCGGCCTCGGACCGCGCTGACCCTCGCGGGGTTCACGTGGTGGCCGCGGGCCTCGCCGTTCGCCGCCCTCAGAGTTGTCGTTGAAATTGCGCCTTTCAAAGTTAGGTTTGCGATCTCCGAACTCGCGACGAGGGGGCCTGGCGCCCTCCTTGCCTTCGACGGCGCCATTCTGCGGGCGATCATCCTTGCGGCGTGGTGGCGGACGTTCCGCATTGCGGTCGTTGCTTCGCGCCGGACCCTTACTCTTTTGTTGTTCGCCGCTTTTGTTGTCTTGGGGCTTCACATTTTGAGTTTCCTTAATACCTTTCCTCACGACGGCGTTGCCGCTCTTCGGCTTGGCTTCAGGTTTGCCCTTATTTTCTTTCTCGGCCTCTTTGGTCTTCTTTTTCTGCTCTTTCGCTTGCTCTCGCGCTTTTAACGCATCAAGAGGATCGGACTCGTCGTCCAAGAAAAGAGCATATCTATTATCGATACCCACACCGTAGGAATTCTCCATTGTGATCCTCTTGATGTTTTAACTACACAAAAACTGGATGTGGGTGGATTAATTTTTCGCACTTAGAAAGACGGCATTTTGCTGCAGTTTATTGATTTCTTTAATATGGCGGACAAACTATCACACTATACGCCATATGACGGCAGGAATAGAGAAAAGAATGAAAATGGCCGCAATTCTATGTTGCCAGACTATAACTATACTCAAACAACACACATGGGCAAATTAAATTTAAAAAAACATTAACACTATTATGACTCGTGATTATTATTAAAATGAATTTATTTATTGGCACTATACATTATCAAAGGATCTTTTATATTTAACTAAAGTATATGCATTAAATATTACAAAAAGCTAATTATGTGTTATTTATAAATACAATTCCTAAAATTAATGGGAATGGTTATATTATATGTTCTAACATGTAACACTAATAAAAGCAGCATGAAAATATACTATTTATTTAATTTCACATCACCAAGTTATCATATAAAATTAGTCTTGAAATAATTTATGAAAAATAACCTGATAATGTAAAAAGCAAATAATAATTGGCAACACATACTAATCAATCAAATACAAACCAGGCAGAGATAATGTAGAATTGTCAAGTATATGTTGTCAAACTGTCTACAGAGTATAGGACGTTATTTAGTTGTATAATAGATGTAGATTAAGTAGTTTGTCATTTCATGGTAAGATTAGGTAAGTAAGAATTTAAAATTAATCTTACTTAAGCTGAATGCTTAATTTTTATGTTTAAATTAAATAAGTAATAAGAAAAAAAAAGATACATCGCTAAAAAAAACATTTTATAGTGATTTCTAATTATTATACCTATTTATTGGGTTTTAAAAGTAATATTTTTTACATGTGCCATGATGCTGGATATAAAAATATTAATTTATAATTAACATCAAATTTATAACATTAAACTAAACGTAAATTTTACTTTTACATTATAGTGACTTCATTTACATTTACCACCCCCGCTTTTAGCACCACCACCGCCACCTCCAGCGGACCCGAGACAAGTATCCATGAGCAGCCCACATACTAGGTAGGGATCACAATCACCGGCTGGTCTTCGGTCTTCCATAAATCCCTTTCCCTTGGCTTTGATGTCCCTACCCAATCGTATAGAAGCTTTCCTGTTTGCAATGCCCCAGGAAAATTTATCAAAAGGTGCAGTCTCAAATTTGCCCGATAGACGCATCCTGTTACTTTGTTCATCGTGCTGATAATTCTTCATATGCTTCATATGGTTTTTCTCAAGTCTCTTAATACATTCTTCAATAAATGCATAACCACCATCAGATCGCATTCTTTTTGTACTAAAATTGTGATGCATTCCTACTCCAGGATGCTTCGGTCCCATTGGCTTTGGATGATATGTGATCACGACGCCGTAATCTTCAGCAACTCTAGACATAATGTAACGTGACATCCACATATCATCAGCAGCTTTTATGCCAATTGTCGTTCCTATTTGCCATTCCCAGCAAGCAAACATTACTTCAGCATTTGTCCCTTCGAAGTCACATCCTGCATATAGACACGCTTTAGTGTGAGCTTCGGCAACATCCCTGCCAGCAATATATTTAGCGCCAACTCCGCAGTAAGAAAACTCATAGTTTACTGCAGGAAAACCACCTCCCTTAGGCCAACCCAAGCCCCATCCGTCGACATCCAACATGGTATACTCTTGTTCCAAGCCAAACCAAGGTTCTTCGGCTTTATGAAATTCACAAAGATCGTTACAAAATTTTCTGTGGTTTGTTTTTGCTGGCGAACCGTCGCCCATGTACACTTCTGCTAACACTATTACGTGAGGTTCTAATCTGAACGGGTCCTTATATACCGCACATGGCTTCAAACTGGTATCCGAATTTGCAGTGGTAGCTTGCCCGGTGGAACTCCCGTCAAAGGCCCAACCAGGTGCAGCATCCGCACTATACGGGGTACAATTAAGAATTCTGTCTTTACATCTCATATTAATACCTGATCCATCGATCCAGCAGTATGTAGCTAAAACTTTATTGCAAGGCATCGGCAGCCGCATATATCGATCCATCACTTTTTTATTCATAATATGATTGATAGAGTGCTTGAGCATATAGCGGTTTGGTGTTACAATCACATTTTGAATTTTTTGAAGGATAGGACTGCGACAAATACATTTAATAAAATATTTCATGTTGAACGTTTTATTTAATATTTCATGAATAGTTTAGTTATTGTTTACACAAAAATTTATAATTTTTTTCTTAGTAATATGTGTTTCTAAAGAGCTATTAATTTGATGTGTGTAAGAAAATAGAATGCCCAATTTGAATGTTTCTTTTTAAAACTAATCGTCGTCAGCCATCAATAATTATGTTATTGAAACTCTTTTTATTGCTATACACATGTTTCTGCAATAAGAGCGCATACTCTATAGGGATCGCAATCGCCTGCAGGTCTTCTATCTTCTAAAAAGCCTTTTTTGTTCGATACTACACTTCTTTGTAATCTAACAGAGGCTCCGCGATCAGCAATAGCCCATCTACAGGTATCAAAGGAAGCCGTTTCAAATTTTCCAGTCAATCTCTTTCGGTTCTCCTCCCCATCCATCAGGCCATAGTGTTTCATTAATGTAGGATGTCGTTCACATAAAATGTTACATACTTTTTCTATTTCACCTAGACCGCCATCGAGACGCATTTTTTTTACACTAAAATTATGATGACATCCGATTCCAGGCTGATCTTTTCCCATTGGTTTTGGGTGATAGCTAATTATGATTCCAAAATGCTCAGCAATTCTGTTTAACAAGTAGCGACCGAGCCATAAATCATCAGCTGCCTTAATGCCCAATGTTGTGCCCACTTGATACTCCCACGATCCTTTCATGACTTCTGCATTGGAGCCACCATAATCCATTCCAGCATAAAGACAAGCTCTCGCGTGACATTCTACAATTTCTCTTCCAGCAACGTGTTCTCCTATTCCGCAGTATGAGTATAAAGATTTTGTCGCTGGATAGCCTCTGCTCGGCCAACCAATAGGCCACATGTTGCTATCGAACATTGTGTATTCTTGTTCTATACCAAACCACGGCTCTAGATCGGAGATTTTACTGAGAATTTTTGCGCAATTTGCTCTATGATTGGTCGCAGTGGGATTTCCATCACCGTAATAAGTTTCACACAGAACTAAAATATGTGGACTTTTTCGAAATGGATCACAATAGACCGCGGATGGAATCAGCATTGTATCAGAATCCTGAGTTTTCGCCTGACCTGTTGAACTGCCATCAAAAGACCAATGTGGCACATCAGAAAGCTGACAAGGCGTTTTATCTAATACTCGATCTTTAGACCGCATCACTATTCCACTTCCATCTATCCAGACGTACGTTGCTAATATTTTATCTCTTGGCAATGGTAAATTTAAATAATGTTGGAAATATGAATTTAGTGGTGTTAAAGTTTTCGAAGAACCGCAACGAAGAGAACCCTGCTTAAAATAATTGCCCCTTTGTAATGTTAGTAGTTTAACTGTAGGCAAAATAATTTTTCGAAGAGACATAATTATTTTAAGTTATACTAATAAAATATTTTTTTATGTAATCTAGACGGCTGCATAAATTTGTCATATAAGGGAACTAATCCACGATTAAGTAGAAAATCATGTTGTTTAATAATAGAGACTTTATATCCAACGCTATGGGCGGTATTTCTTTTTTTCATAGTATATATGTATATTTTCAGTAAATGTGGAGCATAAAAATCTATTTTGAAATATAATTCATTTTTGGCTATAAATTATAATTCTTTAACTTTTTTTTATAGACTATATGTAAGAAACATCAAATTTTTATTAAAATTGTATTATGCACTCTGTGGTATTTCCATACCTCAAAATAAGTGAGGTTATATTTTTATTTTTGTAGCCAAGCATAAAAAAAAAGAAAATAATCTTTCTGTACATACATTATTACTGTATGTTTATTTACGACATAATTACTACTGATTTTTCATATTTTTAAGTTACAAGCTTGCTTAATGCAAACCCCATGTCAGCCTACTTTTATAATGATATAAAGTATAATTATGGAAACGTTAGTACTCCACTCAATAATAGTCAAACTTAGTTCTACAAGCACTTGTAAAACTTTAGTGACAATATTTCTGCTTTTATTTGTAGGGTAAATCCAAATAGTGCATTTCTATCCAACTTTGAGGTGATGCAAATTTTACAACAACTAAAAGATAATACACAAAAGAAGCATAAGAGGGAAGGATCTTTGGCAACTGTAACATATGAGGTGGTTACATAAATAAATAGTGTTAGACATTAGTATTATAATCTCTCCGTGTGAGCACTCTGCCACAAATACTGCTTAGTATGGTTAATAATGGTCAACTTAGCCTTGATGAACATTTGTAAGTACCAGACACTGTCATCTGCAGTCCCTCAAAGAGAATTTATAGGTGTTGGTACACAATTACCATACTTAAAAAAATATTTTCTTTTGGTGACACCGATAGAAGGCAGGGTAGCAGTCCACAGCATTTGTTGACCATTCACCTATAAAATATATTAATAAACTATTAGTTCTTTTTAACTTAGAAAATATTTGCAACAGTACAAATTAATTGTGGAAGATTTTTGTCTTCACAGCTGTAGCACTGTATATCTCATATATTTTAAAATATAAAATGTAGGAAGGGCACAAGTATTGATATAAACATATAAATAATTGGAAATTTTAAATAACTATTATGTGTATTATATTGTGTTTATTAATTATCAAAAAATGCTTTCAGACTGTCCGGTACTTACAAGATACGGAATGTCAACATCAAAGTTCAGATTGCATTAAGAAGTTTTTAGAATCCGTTAAATCTTTCAACTTGACTAAGTTAGAAAAACTGATGATGGTCAATACTCCCCCTAGAACAGAACTTGAAATTCAATTAGTAAGTCACAGCTTATTCTGTATTTATTTACTTACTTTGCTTGACCTTTTCTATTTTTGTGCTTTTCATCCAATATAGTTTGTTTTGTGATATGTACTTAGTCATATAAATGATCCATCATCTTAGTATAATCAAACCTTCCAACTTTTAATAAAAATATTTAATAACAATAGTTGTATGAAGCAGTAGTGATATTTAATAATCATACCTTTATTTTAGATAGTGCAGGAGAGTGAAGAACGTTTATCGGAAGATGAGGTTAAACAAATAATTGGTCTTGTGAATGAATTCTTTCCACAAAGTTCTAGTTAGTTAATAGTAACACATTAATGTACATATTTCAGATTTTTGCGCCCATTGATTTTTGGTAAAATAAAAAGCAATATTAAAAAAAAATAATTTTATGTATGAATCTTCCCACATAATAGGACATTAGTGACATCTATTGGAACAGTTTTATAACAAGTTGCTTTTGTTTGTCACTAGGTGGCGCGCTGAGTATTTAGCTAGCTTTGTTAGTAATTTCAAATGCCATGTAGAACTAAATTACTGGTTTGGAGATCTATTAAGACTTTTATTCTAGTACGTACTGCCAAATATATGCTTTTATATAGTTTTAGTTGAGATAATTATTGACAACGAAACAACAGTGAAAATTTTATTAAAGCGCTATCTATACTGTAACTTTATAACTTAAACATTAAAGTCAAGTGACATTTTAAACTTGAAATAACTATAATATGACATTCGCTGGCAGCGGAATTTATAAGGTGGTGTGACCATGCATCTCCGTTTACTAACTTTTTGGCAATATTGAGTCTTTCTTTAAAAAGTTTTAACTAAGGTGACAGTTTTATAATAAAAATAGGTTATTCGACGATTCTCATTAGAGTTTATCATCAGAGTTAGTTGTTTGTTTTTATTAAACAAAGAAAATTACACATGATAGGTTACTAAAACTGCGATAAGGTCACACGGATCTGTCAGTAATAAATTGCAATGTATATTAATTGTAATCAACAAGAGATATAAATAAAATAAATATTAATCGTCAAACTTGTATTAAGTAATGTGGCAGTAAGTTAATGTTAAAGAACTTAATTCTACCCAAGTTTAACAGACAGCTGCAAGATTTAAATTTGTAAAGTGGTCACACTGACGAACGGTCGCTAGGAGACGGGAGTTAGCGACTGGCTCTCTCGGCAGAAACGTGTATGGCGAAGTGCGGTCGACTCGTCGATGCGCAGCTGTCTTGCCGCGTTCATAATTTTCATTAAGTTTTACCGAAACGCGTGTGTAAATAAACAGTTTGTTTTCTTTGCGAATATGAAGTGATACAAATGTTTGTTTAAACGTGCCGTAAAAAGTGAAGTAACAGTAACCGCTTCTCGCAATGACAACGGAGAGCATTCAGTTACATTTTAAGAATCCGGAGGCATTTGAAATGTTTCTCGTGGTCTAATCGATTCCTTACTAACGTATAAGTGTATTCGTTCGTAATAAGGACTAAAATATAGTGATCCCGGTGACAGTATTCGTTTCCGTTCGTTAGTCGTCTACACGTTCAAAATGAGTGTTTTGAGTGGTTTAAGCAAAGCTGACTTCAAGACGGCGAGTGATGGACTGTTGGAGCTCAACGAGGAGAAGCTCCGTAGCATCATGCGCTCGGAACCCATCACGGATATATACCATGTTGAGCAGACGCCGTTCGCAAGGTCAGTACCACGATACCAATCACGTGTTAATCTTGTGTACCTTATCTCTTTCGCTCAAGGTAACAGGTTTCACTGCGAAGCATAGATAAATAATTCATTTTATGCTAAACTTTAGGCACTGTCAAATCTAGTCTTAGCAGGTAACATCGAGAACTTTTGCATTGTATCAAACTTTCAAGTACTTTGTATTTCAGAAAGTATTAGTTTTTTCACCTGCATTGATTTTGTTGGTTATTAAATGACAATTAATCTTTTTTCCTGTACATTTTGCTCCTTGTGTGGCCCTACTGACTCAATGTACTATAAACATGGCAATCTAGATAAAAATGACCGATGAAGTAAAGCACCTTGATAATTATAGATAAGTTACTACGATTACAGTCATGTGAGAAGGTTATGATTATGCATTTACTACCATTACATTAGTAAACGTTTTAAAATCTCTTATAATTTTTTATTTTATCCACGCAAACAAATAAATTTCAGTTAATTGTAGTTAATAACACTTATTATTGATGTTGTTGTTACTGTTATTACACATTTAAACCGTTAAACATAAATTCAATACACAAACAATTACAATAAAGTTACATTATGCACAATGTAATTTTCCTCTACTAAATATTTCCATAAGATATATATGTAATTGAAAGATTATATGTAGTTACATATTGTTTTAAATAAATCAAAAGACAAACACAATTGTATATTATAATAAAACTTAAAATGTACAACAAAAAGGACACTCTTATCGCTATTCAGACATTGCTACCAAAAAGCTCTAAAACTTTTAATTAATTAAATATTATAAGTTGCAATGTTTTAAGTTGTATTTAATATTAACAATCTATTTCGGTTTTATAACTTACTGTAATTGTTATAAAAGTTGAGCTGGCTACCAAAAGTTTAAATTAAATGTTAGAAGAGCTTTTAAAGAATAAGATCTCTCTTATCACAATCAGGACCTCAAATTCAAGGTAGTTATTTTATTTTTACTTTGCAATTTGTGCAAAGGCTAAACAATCAATACAATGGTATTATCGTTACATGGATTGTTCCACCAAAATTATTACAGGTAAGTTAATACATAAAATTAGAAGAGAAATTACATTAAGTTACCTAAATAGTTTACTTCAAATACACTTACTAAAAGTAAAATAATAATATGAAGTAGAACTTAGTTAACTTACTTGTTTACTGAATTTACCTAAAATAACCCATTGTTTATTTAATCTTGTTACATTACATGTGTTTTATTATTGTCTTAACATGAAGCTATGTACTTGAAAGCGTTCAGATGTTGCTATGAATCGTGGCGGACGAGCTGGACAACTTTTCCCCTCGTTGCGCTTGCGCTTATCCCCGTGCGGTTATTGGACGCATACATTAACCCCGCGAATTATATTACATCGTACTAACGACGCGAGCGCAGAGAAACTGCTTTAATCGTGTAATTTTTTGTTTTGAAATTTCTATTGCGTTTTCTGTTAGTTGTTGTACTAAGAGGGTATACCCGTAAGAATCCGTTTTTTTTGCTTTTTTGTTCGGGTCACTAAATAGATACCAAGTAGTCGAAATGTACTGATTGTATATTAAAATAGACAGGCCAAGTTCTGAACTTGACTTACAATGAAACAAACGAAATATCTTATTTACTTTGTTAATTGTTGTACTTAATGTTTTATTTCTAACGTATCACACACTTAAAAATTCAATTTAAGCCAAACTTTAACCTCATAACGGCACATGTGAAAGAAAATGATAATATGGCCGGCCGATCATAAATGATTAATGATTTCGAAAGTAAACGTTTTAACATAAATCGGATTCGGCCCATTGGATACCCATCATTTTTCTATATATAAAAAAATGTTTCAGGCCGTATTGGCACAGAAAACCGAATGCATTTTAACTGGTGACACCTTTACTCAGTCTCATCTAGCAATTATTTTTTATAACTATATGTATTCATGGCTGTTCATTTATACTTCAGTTTTTCGTCCTAGTACTTTTTGTAAAGAAATAAAATGATCGTCTTTATATTTTCGTGTAGATAATATAAAGCGCAATATTCTAAAGGACAGACTATAAAGCTTGAACTTAAGAACGAAAGTGAAAACAGAGTATAAATCATGAAATGAAGTTGTTATTCGATTATAATATCCATCGATTGTAATCGATTGTAAATCTATCCGGCGCGAAACAATGATACACGGTTTCTATTCTAATATAGATTTCTAGACAGCGTTTACCCTTACAAATCTATGGGAGATTTATAATCGATTATTTAATGCAATTATCTATGGAAATGGCAATAAATATATACTTGCGTAATTTTGCGTAGGTACATATTTATTTTGTAGGATTTTATGTAACAAGCGAGCATTTTTTTCATTAATACAAATGCAAATTTAAGTGGTTAAAAGTTTTGTAAACGGTAGCCTGTTAGCCCTATAATATGTCAAACAAGTAAGTAAAGGGTATCGATGTATTGCACCGCACTATCGTGACGGACAGACAAACGAACACCTTTCAATTTGAGTAACTTTAAAATGGCGCCGTCAGTCAATATCTATTGATGATTGGTTGCACACTATTTTGTATTTAAATACTTTCCGAAGTGTGTTGGTTTTGATAAGGACCACACTTCTGTTACCTTCATTATCAGTTCTTTTCATATTCCGCGTACCTTCTGGCTTTACACGAATAAGATAACACTATCGTTCGCTGTTTCAGATAGCGCTAAGTACGTTGCGTTGTTTTATCAAATACAATAGATATCTTGTATCATATGTTTTTTTTATTATGTGTACAATATTGTTTCAAATTGCAATTATTTGGTAGAAATAAATATTGTTTTGAGGTTCCTAAAGTGCCATTAGTATAATATTAAAATAAAACTAAACACAATATGATAAGGATGAAAGCAATGTAGGAAATTGTAGCCAAAACATAGGGAATTATTTGAACCAGCTTTGACTTCAAACTGCAACTTGGCTAATAAATCGTGTTTTTAATTACATTGACTTAAGCTACATAGGTAGGTAGTAAGTAATATAACGTACCGGAGACTTGTCATCGATCAACGCACCATGTTTTGTTTGTGCGACCTTTCGAGACATGTGTCGATCATGAGTCATTACCTGTTTTTAGATTTGTTACAAGTACCTTACGCGATATTAGATATCGACACACGTACCGTTTGTTTCTTCGCAAATAAAATTATCGGGTAAGCACCACAGGTTTACCACTATTTCCTTGAATATATTGTACATCATGATGATTCTAGCCCATCAGTTACACGAATCCCGGAGTAACGATTAGTTGTCTCGCACTATGCCCAATTGAAATTTTATAATTATAGGAATTGTTTGCTTAAGATGCATGTCATGTTATGTCGTTAAATTGTATAATATATAATGATTTATTGTGTAAAAAGCAATATTAATCTCTTAACATGGTAATTAAAAATATTCGCTATTCTATGTCGCGGATGCGGCGTAATTAAAACGCTGAATATAATTTTAATTAAACAAGAACAGTTTGAAACGAAGTAATTTTTTATTTGTTGAATTCAAACACGTTGATAATTTAAACACTTTTTTAATGATCACCTCAACAATACGAACGTCTTTTGATAATAAGAAAGAATTCTTCCTCAACTTTATTTCGCGTGTATACTGTTTTCCTAGTCTGATTCTAAAAGCGATTTTCACGATACCAGTTTCTTGACACATGCGAAAATTTCCGAAGAAAATGGCAACAGCGGAATTTTGTTTGGACAATAAATTTCAGATCGGCCCGGTTAGGAACGGGGTCGCAGCAGTGCTACGAAATAATTAACCCATTTTAGGATATTCCCAATAGCACTGTTATCAAAACGGGGCTACGCCCGCAAGGGTTCTCTCGTCGCGTTCCAAATAGATTTTGAGTATGTGAAAACATACGATCTGTTATTTCACGTATTGTTTAGTTGTGTGACCTAGTTTTATGACGGTTTATACAAATATACCGCTAATCATAGTAAGTTACGTTTTATGAATATTTTATGAATAGTTTCGTTGTCATAATATAAAAAGTCTTGATTCCTCTGGCTACCATTTTATGTCGAATAATGGGCGTTAATTGGGGCACATTGCAGGATATCTAATTGGGTGACTTCGTTCGTTACGTCACGACTAATCAAATGGAGCACTAATATTTGCGTAGACTCTAATTGCATACTGTAACTACTATTTTGTAACTTTCCATTTTCTTATGTTAAGCGGTTTTATATGGTAGCATTTAAAATTAATACATACTGATATTAACTGGAGCTGACTGAGTAACTAATGTTTCAGGAAATTAAATTCTCAATCAACATGATAATTTGTTTTTTAGAATAGGACACTGTCATCGTAATATTTTTTTTTAATCTCCGGAAATTAAACTCTCTTTGACTGAACGTTGAATGTATACACTTACTAACTACTTCCACGACGAAACAATACAATGTACATAAAATAAACGTAAAAATTATATTGTTCATTGCTTGGTAGAGGTCATTCGCATTGCGACTCGTACATTATCATATCATCTTTTTTTAATAGTCCTCGATGTCAGTGTGAAACGTAAATTGCACGACCGTAAATGTTAACATAACATACGTAAAAATTATGGCAGGCCGTTCGGCTTTTGTAGTTTTGATGGTTTCGTTGGTCCAATAGTAGCGATCTATGGCCGATAATAATAAACGGGTTCGATATGTTTTTTTAACAAAAAAAAAAAATTCTGCATTTTCGATGATCGGTATGAATATCGAAATTTCGCCAGGATGCACAGGATCGTCCACAGATAAAAAGAGTCAAAGTTTCGATTGATGTAGATTTCTGACAGCGCATCAAGCGATCCTCCTATGCTCGTCTGTCTTTTACTGTCATATGAAGAAAACAGGGTAGTACACTTTTTAATCATTTCATTTGTCAAAACAGTTACAAACAGTAAAGCCGAATTTGATTTCATCCACCTGATTTCCTCACGCTATTAAAGTAGCTACCAAAAACAATGATAAATCCAAACAAAGATGTAAAACTAATATATTCAAAC